AATATAGCCAGAGGTGCAACTCTCAGGATGCATGAGCACTTTTTACCACGAACTGTCACATTATTTATTTGCTCTTTTATCAGTATTTATTATTCTAGTGCTGCACTTTGTTATTAAAAGATCATAATGTTCCCGGCTGAGACATGAGGCTTGCTGCAATGCCTTACTGGGAAAAGGGGTGGGCTATCTATACAGCATTAACTAAACCAAAGGAAAGGGAGGAGCACAGACAAAATATAGAAAATACTTAAAGGCATATGTGAAACATGACAGTGATGATATGCAACAAAGGATGAAATAAATCGCATGTAAATAAGGAAATGACGGTTATCAGCATTCCTCTCCTCACGAGCTGTCGCACTGACAGCTCATGAGGAGAGGTAAACCGGTATTCGGCATTCCTCAGAGGGGACCTGTACGCTGATCATCAGGGCACTGATCATCAGTGCCCTGATGATCAGTGTAGCCCCATCAGTGCCACCTGTCAGTGCCCATCAATGCCACCTGCCAGTGCCACATCAATGCCACATATCAGTGCCTACCAGTGTATATCAATGCCACATATCAGTGCCCATCTGAGCTACCTTTCAGTGCCGCCTATCAGTTCCAGTCAGTGCCATATGAGTACTGCCTTTCAGTGCCCATCAGTGATGCCTGTCAATGCCCATCAGTGCCACCTACCAGTGCCTCCTCATCAGTGCCCATCAGTGCAGCCTCATTTAGAGCACATCAGTGAAGGAAAAAAATCACTTATTTATAAAATTTTACAACAGAAATTAAGAAACTTTTTTTTTCAAAATTTTCAGTTGTTTTTAGTTTGTTTAGGAAAAAAAAAAAACAGAGGTGATTAAATACCACCATAAGAAAGCTCTATCTGTCTCCAAAAAATTATAAAAATGTCATATGAGTACAGTCCTGCATGACCGCGCAATTGTCATTCAAAGTGCTACAGCACTGAAAATTGGCCTGGACAGGAAGGGGGTGAAAGTTCCTGGTAGACAAGTGATTAACAAACTTTAGATTTTAAGTACAGGGCCGTTTTAGCATATGTGACCCATAGTAGACCTATAAAGGCCCCTTAAAGATTTATAGTTTTGGATAGAGTAAGTTGAAGATAACATCCTAATTAATTTATTTTTTGCTGTCCTTGGGGAAATTTCACTTTCAGTCTCAGGTACATAATAGGAAATAAGATAAATTCTCTACAAAGAAAGGGAACTCCTCTCTTAGACAATAGAACATTTATCATCATGTCCTGTTCTGGTGACAAATCAAATTTTTTGGGATTTCTAATCTTCTTTCTCAAAGACAATGGTCAACAGGACTAACAGAGAAAGTTAATCCAGCTTTGATACAGACAGCAATAAAAATATGACAGAAGTCATAATCTTTCCTTTCCTTGAAAAAAATGTTTTTACTATTTATACACTTTATTTCCACTGAATGCAGCCTTTTTGTTTTTGCATTTGACATACTTGTGACTGAGTATAAGTTTTATTTATACAATATATACCAAATCAGATTAATGTTCTCTCTTTACAGTCTTTTATGGATCAGTTTTCGCGAGCACTACATTATGAATATGCTTCCAAAGGAATCTTTATTCAGAGCTTAGTCACATATTTTGTAAAGACCAATTTGACAGATTTTAGTACATTCTTGAAGACAAAGCCATTCATTGTTCTTGACGCTAAGGATTATGCTCGTCAAGCTGTAAGAACCATTGGAATATCATCAAGAACAGCAGGACACTTGTCTCATTCTATCCAGGTGAGGATTATTGGAAGTACAAATATGGGTAATGGTAGTGGTGTATTTTAGTTTTGTGCTGCCCTAAGCCGGTCTAAAAAAATCGGGCGCCCCCCATCTAAATTTGTCCCACCCCTTCCTGTTCAAGATCCATCTCTTCATCTGTAAACTCTGACCCTTCCTCTTCAGGCACCAGCTCTTCCTATTAGAGCTCCACCTGAGGAGTTGGTCAGAGACTGCAGACAGGATACAGGGGAAGGTCAGAAACTGTGGACATGATACAGGAGAGGGTCAAAGACTGCAGACAAGATATAGGAGAAGGTCAGAGAATCCAGACAGGATACAGAAGATGGTCAGAGACTGCGGACATACTACAGGAGATGGTCAGAGACTGCGGACATACTACAGGAGATGGTCAGAGACTGCAAACATGGTACAGGAAATGGTCAGAGACTGAAGACATACTACGGGAATGGTCAGAAACTGCGGACATACTACGGGAGAAGGTCAGAAACTGTGGACATGCTACAGCAGATGGTCAGACCTGAGGACGCATGGCAGTAGTTGCCACGGAGGGCAACATGCCCTCTCCCAGGCTGGAACAATCCTATACAGGAAAGACCCAGAACTTAGTGTGCTCACAGAATATATACAGTTACCCAGCATGCCATCAGAGCCAGTCTCTCTGGGATAGGCTGGGGCTGTATCAATATTAACACTGCCATCTGCATAGCTCCACACTTATCATCCAGAAATCTCTCATGTTTCCTGGATAAAGAGGAAGCTATAGGCAGACTGGCAGCAGCTGGGCACACAGAGCAGACCTAACTAAATAAACACAGCTCACCAAGTACAGTGATCTAAGTAAGCTTTTACCTAACAAGTAATTACAGCCACTACAGAATGACATCTAAATTTACCTATCTAAACCCAGCGGAAAAGTGGTGGAGCGCAGTTCCGGCACCTCCAGCACTGAATATATGCAATGGCAAAAGGTGTGCTGGAGGGTCTGTTGATGCTGGCTGCTGGGGCATCTATTGTTGCTGGAGGGGATTTAATTTGGAGTGGAGTCTATTGTTTCTGGGAGGCATCTACAATTGAGGGAGAGGTCTATTGATGATGGATGCTGGGAGACCTGTTGTTGCTGCTGGGGGTTTACTGTTGCTGGGGTGGTATGTTGTAGAGGGGATCTATTGTTGCTGGGAGTCTATTGTTGTGGGGGAATCTTTTGTTGCTGGCTGAAGGGGATTTATTTTACTTTATTTTCTTGTTATCATTAACAAATTGCATAGAAATTACTTAGCACCACAAAATTATACTTAGATCTGTATTCTCTAAAAAGGGTGGTACTGGGAAGTGGATACGGGTGGAACCAAGGAACGGTGAGGTAAGGGGGTGGAGACAAGGGGTGATTCAAAAAGGGGGAGTTCCTTCACCTATTCTCTGAGGAAAAAAAAGCCCTGTCTAAACACCTATCTAGGACGGTGCTTACATATGTATTTCAAATGTGTATTTAGCTTTTTCTTTAGGCTACGTTCACACTAGCCTTGTGTGCAAGCGGCAGAGAGGCGTTTGGGAAGCGTTTTTTACCGCTTCCCAAACGCCTCTGCCAATTCTGCACATTACAGCACATGGTGCTGTTCTAACGGGAGCGTTTGCGTCGCGTCGCGTTGCGTCGCGGCAAAACGGACGCCTCTGGACGAGTCAGGAGGCTTTGAAGCCTCCTATTCTCGTCTATGGTGCCGCTCCGCAAACGCCCGGCCGGCGTTTGCGGTGCGGTTGCGACGCGGTTGCGGGGCGTTTGCGGAGCGGTAACACCACTCAAACTGCATTATAGGCGTTTGTGGGGCGTTATTAACGCTCGGCAAACGCCTAGCAACCGCCGCTAAACCGTGCATGCGGCGTTTGCGGAGCGTTTGCCGAGCGTTAAAAACGCTCCACAAACACCGGACCAACGCTTGCCAAACGCTATAGGGGCGTTTGGCAAGCGTTGGCAAAACAGCCTAGTGTGAACGAGCCCTTAGAGTTCAGCTTTCTAGCAGTAGTAAACTCTGCTTTTCAATTTGTACCTAAAGATAATAAGAGTGACCTGTAGGTAAGGTGAATGCCTCCTAAACTTGCTGTGTTGTTTAGGAGATATTCACACTTGAAGCAGCATTGCCTGCACATGTGTACTGAATTGACAGCACATTGAGTGTGCCATCAATTCAGAGTGATGTACTGCAGCCGTAACTCCATTGCTCATGTGTGGAAGTAACGTCATCGTGGCCGGGCGATTCAAACAGCCGGAGAGTGTGAACCTTGATGGAAGACCAGGTGAAGATGGAAGCGTCGACAGCAGTGACCGAACACCGATTAGAGTATTAACCACTTGAGCTCCAGAGGATTTACCCCCCTTAATGACCAGGCCTCTTTTTGCTACTCGGCGCTGCACTAATTCAACTGATAATTGCGCAGTCATGCAATGCTGCACCCAAACAAAATTTATGTCCTTTTTTTCACACAAATAGAGCTTTCTTTCGGTGTAATTTGATCACCTGTGCGCTTTTTATTTTTCACGCTATAAACAAAAAAAGGCCAAAAATTTTGAAGAAAAACAATATTTTTTACTTTCAGCTATAAAAAATATATAGTAAACACAAAGTTGGTTGTAAATTTAGGCCAAAATGTATTCTGCTACATGTTTTTGGTAAAAAAAATCCCAATAAGTGTATATTGATTGCTTTGTGTGGAAGTTATAGCGTCTACAAACTATGGTATAAATACTGCAATTTACGCCATTTTTCTGCTATACAGCGCTGCGCTAGTTTAATGGACAATTGCGCGATCATGCAATGTGGTACATAAATTAAATTTATATCCTATTTTTTTTTTTCCCCACAAATTGAGCTCTCTTTCGGTGGTATTTGATTGCCTGTGCGGTTTTTATTTTTTGCGCTATAAAAAAAGGCTGACAATTTTGAGGAAAAAAAAAAACAATATTTTGGACTTTTTGCTATAAAACATGTCCAGTAAAAAAAAAATGCAAAAATCAAATTTAGTCATAAATTTCTGCCAAAATGCATTCTGCGACATGTCTTTGCTAAAAAAAAAAACCCAATACGTGTAAATTAATTGGTTTACGTGAAAGTTATAGCGTTTACAAATGGTGGGAAAGGTACTGGGATTTTTAGGGGTTTTTTTTATACTAATAATGGCGGCGATCAGCGAATTATGGCGGCGATCAGGGACTTATGGCAGTGACCAGCGACTTATGGCGGGACTGCGGCGGACATTCTGACATTGGGGGGTACTGACTTGGGGTCACTGACATCTCCAAAAACACTAACACAGTGATCAGTGCAAAAAAAAAAACACTGACACTACTAATGGCAATGGGGAGGAAGGGGTTAACTTTATTTTGCAGGGAAGGGTTATAGGAGTGAGGGGAGTGTTTTACTAGGGGGCGGGGGTGTGTACTGGACGGGATAAGGCTGATCAAGAAAGAGAAACTGTTCTTTCTCAATCAGCTCATCCTCGAGCTGACAGGGAAGTGACAGACAGCACAGCTACTGCAGCTGTGCTCTCTGTCACTGTTTGCCGCCGATCGCCGGGACATAGCCGCTAAGGAGCGGCTGTAACCCGGCGACTGACATCTGCGGCGGTGATCCGCGGGACAGATAGGGCAGCGGCGCGCCTATTTGTTTACAAAACACACATTTTAAAACGTGGTTTTCCCTGCGAGTGCCGCCCTGCCGCCGTATATGTACAGTGGCTGGGCGGCATGTAGTTAAGGTAAGTCTGTCATAATGTGCTAGTATGCAGTGCAAACTAGCACATTATAGCTTAAACTGCCTAGGGGACTTTTTTTTTTTTTTTTTTTTTAATTTTACTACTTTACTTATAAAAGAGTATAAGACTTTCCATCAGATGCACATACAAAATATAAAAAATAGATGAGCTTGCAGTGCTGAGGAGAAGCTGTTCTAGTAGAAGGTTGATTTTTGTTACCTTTTTCCCCACAGCTATCATTAACTTATTGGATTCCGGAACGGTTCTGGGTTTCCATATTTATCTTTCTCAGCAACATCTTTCGCAAAGAGAAAAATCAAAAACCAGTGAAGTTATAAGAATCCACCACTCCAATTTCTCTACTGTTGTATATGTCAAAAAGACGTGTAAAAGAGATCTTATTCTATTTCTCATTTAATTGCACAAATTATATTGTAAAAAAGGGACCCTCACATCCCAAAATTATAGCACCAATAGGAAACAAAAATGTTTAAAAAAAGCACACTTTAAAAGCACAACACAAGGCGAACGCATTCAAATCCAATAGTTTATTGTACATATTAAAATATTTTACACATAAAACCTGTCACTAGTGTGAGATACATTATATTTCCCAACTCTATAATAGAGGCGAGGGACACCTAATTATCATTAATGATACAACTCTGCTTAAGTATAATAATGTATATACTAATATATTATCCGCGCTTATGGATCTGTGAATATGAAAGTGTAGCTGCCTCCCACTCTTCTTATATCCTGAAATGGATATAGATAACTAAAACTATGAAAATTTTAGTGTGGTGCTACCCAATGTTTTAAGGTTAGTGATAAAAGGTGTGCTAAGAAATATACATATAAAGTGCTATAAAACAAAAGCACTTTATATGTATATATAAAGTGCTATTGTTTTATAGCACTCTTAACGGAAGAGTTAAGGAAACAGTGGAAGTTGTATCAAGTGCATATCACTTGCCTGTAAAAAGGGAGTCTTGGAGTTCTAGTGAGTGAACCAAAAAAAGGAGGGAGTACGAGTGTCACACGGAGGAACGAAGAACCTATTTATCATTTTAAGAGCACTTTATGTGGACTGCACCATAAGAGCACATTCTTTCAAGGATTCGCTGCTGGGATTGCATAAACTGTGTAATTTGCATAAGTGGATGATTTAAATATTTATAATTGTATAAATTTCACACAGGAGTATGTGTTTAGGTAGAGGGAGGTGTTCTGTATTACATTTTATACCAATTTGGAGGAGGATGCACTTGTAATGTAATGCACATATACATTTTAGTTTGAAGAGGATGCACTTAAAATGGAGGGAGGTGTTTTCCTCTTAATAGCCTTCAGCACTTTATATTTATATTTCTTAGCACACATTTTAGCACTAATCTTAAAGCACTGGGTAGTGCCACACTAAAAGTTTCGTAATAATAATGTATATGACAGTCACAAGGGTGCCACAAGTCTCTCCACATGCAGATGTCAACGCATTTTGTGTGTATTATCACTTCTTCAGGACTGGTTGGGTATGTATATCATTAAAGTTAAGAACAAAATACATAAATATATAAATACATATAACATATATACTGTACATTATAATATCAAATAGTACAATATAATATTCAAAAGATGCTTGCCTATTCAGACACTATGGTTCATACTTGATGGGCAGCATAGAAATTGGCCTTGAGGGCGCACACAGGAGCCAAACAGGAAAGGGCGCAAAACACACCGAGACCCCACTAGGAATACCTCACATAGAGCTCAATACCTATGTAGATAAATGAACAGACAAAATGGAGTACCATAATAAATCCCAGGTATATATCCCCTCACCAAACTACCATTATGTCCAAAGACAAAAACGAGCATGCACTTACCAGCCACGTAACCCAAAACAGCAGAGCTCGATGTTGCCAATGTGGTTATTAGGAGACTAGAAAATGGAGAAGCTAAAAGCCTAACGACCCCCAAAAGGCCGAAGGTGAAGTCTAAGAGGAATTGCTGTACTTTTAAATATTCCCAGGATATGAAACATAAATGCTGTTCCACAAAAATAGGCCCTAAAGAATAAACTGTAGGTAACACAGCAAACAAAGATTGTACAAACAATTGACTCTATAAATTGGGATAAGGAATATTACATCGTACAAAATATTGTAATTCCGCATTACATTTTCGATATTCTGTTCAGGCCACTAGCAAAATATATTGCATTTATATTTTTCCTTTTTACACTTATTATTATTATAGGCTCTATTCACTTACTTTTATCAAGTATTGCACGTATTTTACTCTTCTTTTGTCATTATTACTAACATGACCATTGGCCACATTTAAAATGGATATAAACCCCTAGGCCCCGTTCACACTTGCACATTCTGGAAATGCATGCAGAAACATGTGGTTCTGTTCGTGTTCCCGAAAACATGTGTAGCGCTACCTTCTTGATGGCCACTGAGTTTTGGGTCCCCTCTAAGCTCTGCACAGCCAGGCAAGAAGCATTTTCCATACTTCCATCCACAGTCAGTTAACAGTCCTCAAGCTTTTTTTTTGTTATTTTATTAGGGGAAATAACTTGGATAGGGTAATAGGGATTATGGGATGCCCAGCTTGATTAAACCTAGGCACAGGGACAACTTCCTTCCTATGTACAGAGAAAGATCCTGGACTGTTCTCCTCCCTGAATACGATCAGTCTTTATGGATCAGAAGCAAAGATCCTTTATGGACTAAGGACTCTCAGCCCCTCTTTGAAGGTTAGCACTGATTGTTGCAAACTACATGCTGAAGTATCTCCTCTCCCCTGTGGAAGTGCTCCCAGCTCCCCATCCTGCTGGCACTACCATCCCTCTGGCTGCTCTGAAGATCTTCAAAGACAAGGATAAAGGGTTAAGCACAGTGCCATCCCTTGAAAGCTTGCTGCACATTGAAATCTCTTCCCTTTGAATCCTTGGGTGTGCTGATGTATTTACTTGGTCCTCTTTGCTCCTTGCTACTCTTTAGGCGAGATTCCTCCTCAAACTGCACCATTGCTGAGATCTTGCCAAGCCTGCCTGAGCCTAGCCTGGAGGTAAAGACCTCCTAGACCAGGGGTAGGCAACCTGCGGCTCTCCAGCTGTTGCAGGACTACAAGTTCCATCATGCCTCTGCAAGTCATAGCAGTAACTGTCAATTTTTCAATGTCTCTAGAGAGGTGCAGGATGCCTACCCCTGCCCTAGACCTAAGGGATCCCTCCAAGGCTACCGACAGCCTCCTCAACACTCCATCTTTCACTCGAGTTCCCAGCTAGTATGACTCTCTCATATTTATGAGCTAGTCTTATCACACTACCAGGGCCTCTTAGCCTGGTCAGAATCCCATAAATATCCAGATTTATGTCTCCACCCATTCTGATCACTGGCTTCTGTAAGCTTCCATGGGCCTCCAGAACAATGTGGAAGCAATAGAGTCCCAACCTGCTGAACCACCGCACCTGACTTGCAGTAACCTGCCCTAATTACAGCCTCACACAGTTACCATGAGTCATACCACAATAAATGTACCTACACTAACACTAGCAACACACTAGACAGGGTGCTACAAATGTGAAAAATGTGGCAAAATGTGCATTGCCCCCACATCACATGACAAGACCCGTGGGAAATATGTGGTGCTCACCACCAAAAAAGGTGTAGGAGCTGCTTTGGTAGGTTTGTTGTGTGCATGCTGTCACACAACAAAGGTGCAAAAAAACACACACATAAGCATGATGCGCAGGTGTGAATAAGGCTTTACATATACCCACTTAAGTAACTAGTCTAAGGTGATATACAGAAATTAAACAAAACCCACTACATAAGTTGTACATGTTTTTCTGAAGCCCTCTCTCCTCCAGATCCAAAGTAAAGAGATCAAAGGCTATTTCATAACCATAGAAGGCAAGAGGTGGGGATCTGCCATTGCACACTGCACTGCTAGAGCACAGGACTTCAGTGTAATCTGAGAGCTGAGTAGAGAGAATGGACACACCCACCCCCTATACACTGATTTATAGGGAAACATACACAACTGAGGCTGTCAGTCACCTGTTGTGTACTAGAGGGGGGTGGGACTGTCACCTGGGATTCTTTTGTGTCAGCATAGATTATTATAAGTGAATCAGAGGGAAGAGAGTTCAGAGAGAAATGACACCTGGCTATTTGAATTGAGCAAGTACATACTATAGAAGGATATGCTTGGGTTAATTTTCACCAGGGGTTTATTTCCACTTTAAACAGTTTTTATCACAATTGCAAATACATTACCTTTTATTTTCACAATCTTTTTCTGGATTACTTTTTGGTTAATGTTGAAAACTGCCTTTGTTTTATTTTACTAACCCTTCTTTAAAATGCTGGTTAATTTGCAATATGGGTTAAATTACAATAAAATAAAAAAAAATATAAATGATCAAATGAGCTGGGGTTGCTTTATGGCTGTGATAATGATCACCTACATGTTGTATGGCTGTCTGCAGACCTACAAGTATAGTTGGACGTATATTAACACA